TGACGAATCTCCAGAAAATGGTCCAGTCTGGTTTTTTTTTTTTTCCCCCAAACGATTCCTTTCTGTCCATTGGGGTTTTTTTTGCCCTAGATACTTGGTCATCCCAACAGGCAGGCAAGCACATTGCCGTGGAATTTGGCAAGTGCTGACAACATCGCAGCTGGTTCTGAGTCCTCAGCGCCTCCGTGCATGGGCTCGGCAGAGGCGCCCCAAACATTTCTGAGTTAATTTATGCATTGAGGAAACACAGTAGCCATTATAGTCTGACAGACCTGGATGTGAGTCCCAGTTCTGTCACTTAGGAGCTCTGTGGCCTTGGGCAAGTTATTTCACCTCAGAGACTGTTTCTTTATCTGTGAAATGCAGCAGTGAGTGTGTACATATATAAGTACATGCCACATACATGCACACACGCACACGCACGCACACATCCTATAGAGCCAGATCTCCATCCTGCGTCATGGTACATGACACATACCCTGCTGTGGGATTCATTACCTTTTCTCTCTCTCTCTCTCTCTGGGATTCTTAGATTTATCCCATATTAAATGACAGAGCTACCATGAGGACTCAGCTAAGGCATTGGACTTAAGATGGCGACTCTCGGGCATTATCCTGGGAAAATGCCAGGATTGTAAAATTCAGCAACACTTTGCTCTGCATTTCCCCCACCCTGCCCCCCCATTGATCTTTCCCCATTCATGTCCCACCCCACTGCCTTTGCCCTTCCTCTCTCCCTTTGCCTCAAAGAGAGGGAGGGGCGCCATGGAGGAGGCTCCGAGACAGCACTGACCTTGGGCCCCGGAGGCTGAGGACACGGGTGGCGGTAGGTGTGGGTAGAGCCCACCGGTGGTTTGCTTCACCGTCTGTGTCCTGGCGAGGCTGGCTGTTGGCTGTATAATTTGTCGGGTTTCGTCTGGAGTCTTAGGCTCTTCAGCTGCTGCAGGGCAAAAATCTTTTGGGGTGTCATTAAATGGGATTGATAATTGGCTTCTGATGAATATTCATCGTGACTAATGACTTTGGGCAAATTTTACATGTACTCTCGTCCTCTTCTCCCACCGAGTGAGATTTTGATAGGATCATTTCCCTCCACTTGCTCTTCAATTAAATAGTCTCCATACCCTTTGTCGGCTGTGGACCAACTTGCATCCTTTTTAAACTTTGTATTCTCTGTGGAGTCGGCGTGGTCCTTTGGGAACCCTTCTTTCTGTAAACGGACTTCGTTGGGGAGTTTTCAAGTGAGTGCCTAATGACGATGTACAGGCTGGAATGTGTTGTTTCCAGTGAGGCGTGCGTGACTGTGTGTCTGCCACACCGACAGTGACAGAAGCTACTCTGCCACTTCTCTGCGATCACCTTAGCCACGATGCCTAAGTAACCGAAGCACGTGATGCCTGCCAGTTAGGGTTTTGGAAAAGAGCCAAGCCGGTCCCTTTGTTTGTTTTCTTAATCAAATGGGTAAATGCATTTTACTCCAATCGCAGAGATTTAGCCTTGAGAGAAGCCCCGGTGAAAATGATGCTCGAGCTCTTTAGAAGTCTGAGTTTTGTGAAGGCTTAAAGCTCAGTAATTGCAGAATCTAAGCGCTGGGCTTGGGCTCGGGTTTGGTTTCGTTTTTTAGGTGACAGAGACCTGAAAAGTTACCACCTAAAGATAAAGTGCCTGCTTCTTTTAATCTCTTGAAATAGGATTTTGATTCAAATCGCTTTCAGCTACAAAGGGGCAAAATACCAAGTTCTGTCTCAGCCAGGAGCATTTTCTGAAAGGACTCCTTCCAAGAGAATTGCAAATGAGTTCTTGCGATGATAATGCCTGACGCTTGTATGGTACCTTCTAGATTTGCAAAGTGTTTTTGTTTATTTAATTAAGTGTGTTGTGGTTAGAGTAGGTATATTAGTGAATGAACAGATGAGTGAATCCATTGACTTGATTTTCCACAAGTGGCATATGTGCGTATCTCCCTTTGGAGCGATTGTTTTCGAACTTGAGTCACTACCCCCATCTGTGGAACTCACGAAAATCCTGGGCCCACGCTGCAGGGGTCAAGCCACCAACTATCTTTGTATCAAGAATATATTCTCAGAACTCTCCTAATGCCATTACCATGACATTAGCGAGCTGTGACGTAGCACAGTGCCACTAAGGAGACAGAGGAAAGGAGAGTGAGAGTCGGCGTCTTTTGTGCATTAGGGTGGGAAAACAGAAATACCCACAGCGGCAGTCCCATTAGTCATGGGGGGCATGTGCGTCAAGGAGCACCGTGGGGACTTTGCAGAAGGAAGACAGGATGAGCCCCAGGCACCGATGGAGGAAGAATTTGCTAGGGGCCCAAAGCTTGAAGGAAGGGTAGGGAGAGAGAAGGATGGAAGAGCAGCCTTGCTGGGCTTGTGGGTAGTTTCTTCCAAGGCTAAGTGTGGAGCCACAGAGGGGACTAGCCAGGTGCTCTTGGGAAGGTAGACGGGAGCTAGCATGCCAGGTCCAGATGTGTCCCCAAAAGTCCAACCTAGGAGGCCCCAGGCAAGAGCACTTGGGCAGCTGCAGGACAAGCAGGAAGCCGGTGCCTGAGGCCAGGGCCCAGCGGAGCTGCTCTTCGCAACTCGGGTGCCTCGGATGCAGAGTCCAGCAGACAGCCTCCGTGATATGGGGAGCTGGGGATGGATTGGGAGAGGACAGGCTCCAGGTGCAGCGGCTGCAAACATCCGTGAGAGCCTGCTGGCTGGGTTCCCGCACATGCACGGAGAAACCAGGGGTCTGGAGGGAAGCAGGGGAGAGCAAGCAGCTCTGGGCTTCCCCCTCAGCAAGCCAGCTGTGGAGCCCGCGCTGTCCGATTCCAAGACGGCCAGGTTCCTTTCGGGCCCTCTACAGGGCCCTCTCCTCTGGCCGCGTGAATGGCCTTCTGTCAGCGGAGGCCAGTTAAGGGCTTCTGAACAGGACCAGTGCCACCTGGGAGTGGGCTTCCCAGAAACCAGAGAAGCATTGTGGCAGAAGGACCGGAGGAGGAGCCTCAGCAGTAGGACAGTGGGTGGAGCATTTGCCTGGCCCACAGCTGCCCCAGGTTCGATCCCCAGCACTGCCCGGAGTAGTGATCCTTGAGTGCAGAGCCAGGAGTAAGCCCTGAGCACCGCCAGGTGTGGCCCAGAGACCAAAAAAAAAAAAAAAAAAAAAAAAAGCAAAGAACAGACCAGAGGAAACCCAGTGTGGCTGGCTTCTGTCCTGTCTCCAGAGCCTGGGGAGGGCTTTCGCTTTCTTGCACTCGTCTGTATGTTTGGTAGTCATTTCATTCGGTCTCTGTTTCCTAACTTGTTAATCTTACTAAATGCTGATTATATGACGTGTCTCGCTTTTAAGGAAGATCAGAGAGATGGAGTCGGGAGAGGCAGGATTAGTCACTGTGTGGTGCTGGGGCAATTGGCTACCCATGCGGGCAGGCGAACAAATTTTCACCCCAGTCCTTAAACCTAAATTAATTCCAGGTGGTTTAAAGAATTCACTGCAGGGCAAAATTGGGAGGGCCTTCTTAGTATCAAAGCCATGGAAACTGTCGTGAAGGAACATATTTATCTGTGTAGTCACTTAAATTTTCTGTGTATTCAGAAATTCAAAGAAAAGTAAATAAAAATCACTTTTTCTCACAGACATTCCAAAGGATTAGCGTCTTCTGCATATTGAACATTTGCTTATGGATCGATAAAAATTAACCCTGGAAGAATTGGGCTGAGAATATGAATAGTCCATTTGGCTAAGAAATATAGTCAAGAGATATGTGGCAGCTGGGGCTGGACTCTTGCCTTGCACACGTCCCCACCTGGGTTCTATCACCGGGTCACTGGCACTTGGCATGTCGTCCCCTGAGCACCATCAGGTGTGGGCCCTGACTATTAGAGCCAAGAGTAAGCTCTGAGCATCGCCAGGTGTGGCCCCCAATGCAAAACCAAACCAAACAAGAAATACACGGCCTTGATGGGGCTGGAGAAGGTGGGGTACTTGCCTTGCATGCAGCTGACCTGGGTTCCATCCCCAGTACCCCGTATGCTTCTGCCAGCCCCCACTGTAGAAGGTGGGGGAGGGAGGGGATGTTTCACCTTGGTCTTGATTCAAGAAATAAAATTAAATCAAGATGGGTAACAATTGGGAGAGGGGGCAGAAGCCCATAGCAGCAGTGCTCAGGGCTCACTCCTGGTGGCGCCTGGGGAATGTGTGATGTATCAGGGTCAATTCAGGTTCGGATGCATGCCAGGCAAGCACCTTAGCCCACCTCCTCTTCCCAGCCCCTCGATAGCAATTTTAAAGTAGAGTTTTTGTGCTGGTGAGGCATAGGGGCTCTAGAATGCTTGTATAAGATTGGGGGGTGGGAATGAAGATCCTCCACCATCTATTTAAGTAACACATTTATTATGTTTATTGCATTTTATTAAGTTGCCTTAAAATATTTATAACCATTGTCTCTGAATCCTACATCCACAAGCCACGTAGAAAAAAAAAAATGCTGACCTGATCTGATTATATAATTCAATGTCGAAGAGTGGTTAAATATAGAATGGGAAATTCATTGAGTTCCAACATATCGTTCAAAAATGTGTTTTCAGAGAATATTGAAGATGTGGCAAAATGCCAGTAAGGAATGTTAATGACACTATTTACAGAGATCCCGATTTTATTAGGGGAAAAAAAAAAAAGAAAAGAAATACACGTGCCTGTGCACTTAGCACCCCAAAATGCTGAGTTATTTTCAGAGGGTGAGAAATGTCACTCATTCCTTCTCCCAGCTTCCAAGTGCTCTACCATCAGTCGAACACTCGCTCCAGGATGGGGGTGCAGAGCGTGGGGGTGGGGGTGCGGGGGCTATTGAACCGTGCTCGTGTTCGGGACCCGGGTGTGTTGCAGGTGAGTGGCAGGTGCCGACACCCTGCATCCCGTGGTTGCCACACCGCCCCCGCCCCCAGAGCATCCCCTCCCGTTCGCGCCTCTGGCTCTGACTCTGGTCTCCTCGCTTGCAGCTGACCGCCTGCATCCACGGCTCGGCCGCCATGCTGTACCCCATGTTCTGGCAGCACGTGTACATCCCCGTCCTGCCCCCGCACCTGCTGGACTACTGCTGGTAAGGCCGCCCCTCCCCGTTCCCCCCCCCCATCCAGAGCTGACCGGGAAGGTCCCGTCTCTCTCGCGCACCCCTCCCCACCCTGCGGTCGGGGTAACGCTACTGTGAAAATACTTGCCGGAAAAGGACACGCAGCTTCCGGGGCCTCAGCACATGGACCTTGGGTTCCCAGCAAGTGTGTCAGGGCATCTTAAGGCTTCTAGCAAGTAGACACATGCACCCCCCCCACCCCCGTGTCTCAGTTTGGAGATAGCCCAGCAGCAAGCCCCCACCCCCACCCCTACCCCAGGCAGAGTGGCTCTTGGTGACCAGGCAAAAGGAGGCCCCCGGGTCTGGGCTTCTGGTGCCTTCTGAAAGCCTTGCTCCGTGCTGGGGTGTGGGAGCACTGGGCCATCTCCAGACCCTCTGGAGCTCGATGGGGCGCTCATGGCCCAGCAGAGTGGGCGTGTGGAAGGAGGGTGGCAGGCAGCACCCCCAGCCCCCAAACTGCGTCAGCTGTGCCATCCCAGCAGGTCCCCTGGCCCCTGAGGACCATGTCAGGGTGTGGGATGGCGTGTCGGGGAGCTGACTGGCAGAGGGGCACCCTCCCGCACCCAACAGACGCCTCACCGGCATGACTGTTCCTCAAGAGTCCAGCGGGGACTGGCACAGTGGCTGGTGGCCACTTGCTTCCCTCCCTCCCATGACCTGTGCTTCAGGATGGTGCCGAAAGCAGCAGCTGGGGAGGAAGGGCCCCCTTGAAGGGGGCCCCCATCCCTGTCACTTCACATGACTCAGGGGTCTGCCCTCCTATAGCGAGTGATGTCGCCCAGGCCGGGCTCCCCTTAGAGGGGCTCGCCAACCTGCTGTGCAGCCCACCCACTTCTTAGGTAGTCACACTGTCCCGGGCTGGGGCTCAGGCCCTCAGGGACCAGGCAGCTGCCCTCTCCTGCCCACAGTGCTCAGGGAACTGCTCTGTGCTCTGCTCCAGGCCTGCCTCCTGCCAGGTGGGCCTCACCCCACCACCTGCCCCCGCACGCACACACCCACACCTCCTAGGCTAGCAGACGGCACCTCTGCTGAGACCCACTACCCCTTTGGAACTTCCGAACTAGCACTCCATCCGGGTCCCCTCCTTGTCTCGATGGGAAAGGGCCATGTTGGCTCCCAGAAGTGTGTGGCAATGTTGAAATGACAGACTGGGGTCACGGGACCAAGGCAGACATGCAGCGCAGGGAGGAGGAAGGAGGCGAGGATTGACCAGGGCAAAGAAAGAGCCAGAAGCACACCCCGCTCCTTCCGAGGGAGGCTGGAGGGCAGGACTGTGAGGGGAGTCGGGGATCAGGTAGAAACCTGTCCCCCAAGGCAGCTCACGGGGACTCAGGCCTGAGACCCAGAGCCCAGTGGCCACCTTCCTGCCCACCACCTGCAGCCCCTACCCCCCAGCGCAGACACAGGTCTCTCCCACAGAACCCCGCACCCATCCCTGCACCCCAGGCACACGCAGCCCAGCTGCAGAGGAACTCAGAGTCCCCGTGGAAGAGACCGCAGGTGCGGGCGGGCCCTCTGCCTCTCCCTCACAACACCCCAGCCCTCCAGGGCATGCTGGGGGTGTTGCAGCATCAACTAGCGGAGGAGCAGCAGTTCCGACCCCCGAGGGCTACCCCAGTAGCCCGTGCCCCTCCGCTTCCAAGGTCCACCCAGCAATGGGGGGAACAAGCAGCTATCTGGGACTGGCTTCATCTCTGGGGTTTAAGCTCCAATGCAGAGCCTGGAACCGAACCTGTCTGATTCTGACTCCATTTTTAAAAAATTATAATGTTACATGTAATATTAACATTATACACAGGGGCCAGTAAGAGTCCAGCAGTTGGGGGTAGGGGGAGCACTTGCCTTGCACACAACCAGCCTGGGTTCAATCTCTGCCACCCATAAGGTTCCATGAGCCCCATCTGGAGTGATCACTAAGCACAGTGCCAGGAGTAAGCCCTGAGCACAGAGCCTGGAGTAAGCCCACAGCACCACTAGGTGTGATTCAAACATCCCCCCATGGCCCCCAAAGAGCTGTACACAGGCAGAAATTTGGGTGGAAATACACTAAAATCTGACAGATATTTATAATGGGGAAGGAGCAGGATTCTGCATGATGTTTGTTTTATTTTCCATACTTTTAGTTGTTTCTACAGGGGAAAAAATGTATGGTCTTCATAATAGAAAAGCTTGGCTGAAAAATAATTTTTTTCAGTCCATTTTTAGCCATTTGGTCTTTCCAATTCCAGGGCCCAGCCCTCCTTTCTAGAGAGCTTATTAACTGTTTTTACTCTTTCCTCTGGCAGCTAACCTGGAGTCCTCTTTTTATTTGGAACTTTGCTGTCAGACCATTCAGGGAGTCTCGGGGTTGGTCCCAGCAAAGCTTATCCAGGCCTGCCTACTAGTTCAGTGCTCGGGCCTAGTGAGGCAGGGGACCACCAGGGCCACCCCCAGCCATGCAGGGATGGGGAGGGCGGGACACACAGTGCTGGGGATTGAACTGGGGGCCTTCAGTTGTGACTCCCAACTTGAGTGCAAGGTTTGTACCCCTGACCCCTGGGGTCTTCCTTCGTCAGCTTCTTCCCTCAACTCTCTGCATTGTCTCCGCAGCCTGGGCACACTCAGTGGTGCTGGCAGAAAGGCCCCACCTTGGCAGCCAAAGACACTTAATCCCTTGGCACCCCAGACTTCCGCTCCAAACACCCCAAGTCCCCACTTGCACTTCTGGGAGTCTGAGCGGGTTTTGTGGCGAGGCTGCGCCCCAGCATTTTCTGTTGGGGTGAGAGCCGACCGCCTCGGCCCCATCCCTTGTTCTCATAGCAGAGTTTTTTGACACTGGACAAAAAGGATGACTGGAGAGGGGCCAGTATCTGTCCGGTGCAAGACATGAGAAGGGTGGAATGAAAGCCCGCCAAAGGGAAAACACGCTCCCTTCGAGGTGTGCTTGGGCCCCCTTCCATCTGCAGCCCCTGCTCTGCTCAGAAGTTACAAATGCCATGAAATTTGAGTTGATGCTAATGACTTGATTCCACTGCGCCCCGCGAAACTCCCCACCCGGCCGTGAGCACCAAGTGGGATAACTAGCATCTTAAGCAAAATGCTGGGAGCCTGGAACATGTAAATTTGCAGGAGGTTTGGGCCACGCGGCTGATGATTTAAATGTTAAGTGCGTCCCCATGCCGGGGCTCCACGAAATGGAATCTGAAAACTATTATCTCCTGTCGAAATGAACTCTCAATTTACTCACTGCACAGGAAGGGCAGGTCCTAGTCATTTTCGCTGCCAGCAGGTGCCCTTTCCATGCATAATAGACTTCGCAAGTGTAATTAACACATGAGGCCCCGTCGCTGCCAGCATCTCTTCAGGTGCAGGCTGCTCCGAGTTCTCAGGACCACAGCGTGGGCACCGAGAGCCCCCTATCCTCCACCCCATGCACTTGAAGATGCGGCGATGTTCAAGAGAGTTGAGCCCAGATGCTGCTACTGGTACCCTCACTCGGGGTCCTCGGGCCCCTCAGCCTCAGGAACCGTCATGTGGGCTCTGGTGGAAAGAGGGCCCGGGAAGCAGTGCTCTGGGATGCCGCACGTGAGTGGAAGGTTTGCCGCCGAAAAAGCCCAGGATTCCGGGGAAGGCTCTAATTGCACATTCACAAATACAACCACCAATTATCTGAGTTAACTTTAATGAGAGCTATAATCACAGATTTTAATGATCTGAATAAATCAGTTTAGCACGAAATGGCCTGCCCTAAATATTTCCTAAATTAATTTTTGCATGTCCCTTCCCACTTGGGGGAAGGTATGAGAGAAAGCAAGTTTAGCGAGACCGGGGTTCAAACACCCACTTTTCCCCCTTTTTTGGAATTGCGTGACCTTTAAAAGTCGTGTTCATTGCTCTGGGCCGCAGTTTATTTTTCTTTAAAATTTGGGTTTCACTTACCTCCTTTAACGCCTGGCTAGAGGAACTAGGTGCCATTTAGGAAACAGTTACGATATTAAACATGGGACTGGATTTGGGTTTCCAGAAGGTTTAATTCACATCAAACATTATTCTTGCTTTTGCTACCTTCTGAGCACAGGGGAAAACTTTATAACTCCTCTCTCTTTTTACCCCCTCAGATTGTTTTTATTTTGATTTTTTTTTTATTTAACTTGAGTTATTGTATGGTTGTTTTCATTTGCAGCTGTGGCATAAGAATGAAAAGAAAAGAAACAAAAGCAGATGGCAGAGAAAACGAAAGGAGTAAGACATTTCCAGCCCTTATGAATATTTAAAAACATGTGCTGCTGGTTCCTTTCTACTTCAGATCTGTGCCATTCTCTTGACTTTGAAAGTGAAAATGAGAACATTCCCTACCTTGGCTGATTGCAGTCCTGACCTTGGCCAGTCTTGCTTTCCCATTTCTGGGACAAAAGGATTAACTTGTGGATGAGAATTAGCTTGTGCCTTCATAAAAAAAAAATAAAATTCATCTATTGAGTACATGGCAAGTGTGCCAGACTCTCTAAACACTATTGCAAATCTTCCAAACCAAACTATCAGGGAGCTATTATTAGTGCCATTGTATAGATTAAGAAATTGAAGCCGAGAGGTTTAGTTACCTCTTCACTGGCCTGTAATGAAGAAAGTGCAGGTAGACCCTGCTCTGGGATCTAGGGCCAGCCCAAACGAACACTTTCCTCACTAATATTCCCTAGAGTGTTGGAGGATAAGCCAGACCCATCACCAAGATTTTGTGAAAAAATTCTTCATGTAGGCTTCTTGATGACTTGCTAATAGTAGACTTATGTTATCATTCATTAATTATTCATTCATTCAGCAAATATTTATAGAGCACTTACTATGTACCAGGCACTTTGCTAATTAAATGTTGCTAATAAAAGGTCCCAATAGAAGCCATATGGTATTTCCCATGTAAATTCCTTTTCTGCCATTCTTTTTTTCAGAAGTCGTCCTAAATAAGGACCACAAATCAGTTCCCAGGGTGAATT